AATATATACTAGAGAGATTATAGGGATTCCTACATGATAGAGGATGCTATGGAGAGATTATAAGGATCATAATAGAAATCTCATAATCCTAGCTTACAATTATATATAAGAGTCATTACCTTCCTAGAATAGTTTTTCTCTCGTACATTATAGATAATCTCTTGTATTCTAGAAGTTTGAATGAAGAATAAGAAATATACCGAGTTTAATAGATTGATGGGCATATACAAAATTTATTAGCTAGATAATGGAAAAATCCCATCATTTTGCATAATACGTAAAACATCATAATTTATCATGTCAATAAAGAGAAAAACATAACATTGTTCATGAATATAAGTATATCATATTTTTTTCTTTTTTTCTTTTTTTTTCTACTTCATTCCCTTAACTAGGTCATTAACTATCTTCTATAACTAGTTAGTAATTTCAACAAGCAGTGTCAATGGGAATTAATTTAGAAAAATAAAAAAAATTGATATATTATCCATAACAATCTCGAGTGAAATGTTTCCTAGGTTTCTATTGGTTTATATATATGATGATAGTGAAGACGAGTGTTGGTGCAACGGTGATTTTAATAATTGAATAATATTATAGATTGATTATCTTTTATAAAAGCTGAAAAATGTTTTTCAAACTAAATTTATAAATTGACTACAAAATTTTTTTATTTTATTGTGAAATACTTTATTGAAAACAAACTTCTCTCAAGTTGTTGGTTCAACTTCTGAAGTAGAAGTATCCGCTAAAAAACTTATTTAAAAAGGAAAAAAAAAAAAGACAAGCATGTTGTCACTACTCGACATTTAAGGACTTTAAAAAATTTTATGAAAAAAGAAAAGAATTAAGAAAAAAAGTTTAGAATTGTCACGTAGTATTAAGATAACTAAGAACCTAAAAAGGGTACTGGATTTAGAGACTCGATTAAGGAGTTGGTTATGCTTTTGCAAAAATCACAATCACTCAAAAACACTCTTTTCAAGAAGAGGTACTCGGATTTTTCAATAAAAGGTACTCGATTTATTTTAATCCTAAAAAATATCTCTTAAACATTTTATCTACCAAATTATTGTCTAAGTTTATTTTCCAAGTCTATTTATCGTTCAAATTAATTTTTTTATTTTTTACCGTAGCATCGTATTAAATTAACGTCAAGCCTCGTGATTGAGATTCGCAATATCAACTTAGCATCGGATCCAATTACGTTTTGACATGAGTGCATGTTGAGGAATGACTTAATTAGCTAAAGATGTCTAAACCGATTTGTATCTATTCTAGCTAATTTTTTTCTTTTTATTTATTTCTTTTTTTGTTTATTTTTTATTGCACATCGAGTTGTCGAGACTAAAGTCTCGTCTCTATTAAATTAAGGACTCATAAGGTTGATTTGGATTTCCTAATTGTCTTAAGAAGACATTTTTTTTTTTTTTTGTTAATAACATAATGGATTTGATGAGGGATCGTTATCGGTCCCCATGATCTAGGAGACTTGATGATCTCTCATATTGCTAAATAAATTTAAACGAGAAATGCATCATATTAATAATTACAATGATAGCAAAATTGAAAATAAATTACAAATAAATAGCAAATGGACTCCTAAAGTTATGAAAATTAAAATACAAGCTAAGGACAAACATATCTACAAATTCAAAAAATATCCAATTAAAATAATAAGAGATAACGAACCTAAAAATTAAATTTCGAAACAAATCAAAGTAATAGTTAAGTTAAATGGAAAAATAATAAAAAATATATCAAATAAAAAGTAAATGAACTCTTAAAATTATGAAATTTAAAACACAAGCCAAGAACGAACATATGTAACAACTCTAAAAATTTCAAATTAAAATAAAATTAAACAATGAATTTAATAATTAAATTTTAAAATACACTCATATTAATAATTAAAATAAGGACAGAATAATAAATAAATTTTAAAATAGTAGTAAATAGATTCTTAAGATTATAAAATTTAAAACACATGCCAATGACAAATATACAAATAAAATTAAAAAATTTCAGGCCAAAATGATTAGGGCGACCTTAAACACAAATAGAATCCGAAACGAGTCTCCGAGATTAAAATTTGCCAATTTAAACCAAATGTATTTAAGGGATGAGGACACAAGAGTTTTTTCCTTAAATCTTAAATAGGGTACTTTTTAATCTATTTTTTCAAAATAAGTTATTTTTAAATCTTATTTGTAAGAGGTGGTTTTTTTTTTTCTTTTTTTTTTTTTTTTGCAGTAGCTATTGAAGTTATAGGAAGTATAAGAACATGAGTTAATAAAGATAGAAAACAATAAAAGAAGAGAGTGATTTAGGATGATAACATAATTTTTTGAAAAAAAGAAATTAAAGCTGACATGTCAATGTATTAAAATAAAATGGCTCCTATTTGACATAAATTATCTTATTATAAAAAATAAATTTAAAATTATTCTATTTTAAGAAATAAGATTTAAAAATACTTTATTATGAAAAAAACTCTAACACACAAGCCCGAGTCTAAAACATTAATCTTTACTAAAACGGACAGCCCTAATAACCTAGTTACTTTACCCTAAATTGCGTTTGGTGGGTACCCAAATAAATTCAAACCCTCGTGATTTCTACCGTTAAGCATCTTCATTCCTCTTTCCATTTCTTAAACGGAAGGCAGCTTTTCTTCTTTTTTTTTGCAGCTAAATATCCTTACACTTCCGCTGGTCTTCTTATGGCAGAACGCTTCTCTCTTAACTCTCCCAATATTTCCTTTCTCAAATTAAACCAAGCAGGCGAAAACCTCGCCTTACCCCTATTTTTTCATTGACAGACCGATACCCCTTGTTTTTTTATTATTATTATTTTTTTTTTAAATTCCTCTCCCTTGCCTCTCTTGCATGCCATACTCATACTCGTCATGGAAATAAAAGACCCTCGGACATCGAATTAATTAAAGGGATAACGATTAAATCTTCCGACCAAAGCTAATGCCGAGCATTTAATGAAACCTTAACTACATCACATGTATTGCAATAAACGGTGACAAGGAAGCGACAGAAGACTTACCTGGTAACAAGAACAAGATTTGATGGGGATATCGGGACAAAGCTTCAAGAAGTGAAGCTGGTTGAAATCACAGAGCTTGTGCTATTTTTTTTTTTTTCTTGCTTTTCTGAAAACTTGTGACTCCAAAGTCTTTCTTTTTTTCTTCCTTCGGCCAATCCTTTATTTTATTTTGCCTTCTCTCTTCTCCTTTCTTACTCTCTAAAAACCAGTACCTCCAAGCAGGACCCTCTCTCTCTTTCTTTATCTTAGCTTGCTCGCTTTCCGAAAACCAGAAACTCCATGCAGAAGCTCCCTCCCTTTTTCTTGCTCTCTCTCAAACCAATCTACCTTTTTAGCAAGATGAAAAATCAAAATCCTCCTGGTTCCTACTCTCTCTGCTTTTTAGGTCGCCAAAACAGAGAGCTCTCTTTGAAACCCTCTAACCAGAATCCCCCTCCTCTCTGTCATACTTCTCATGGTTTATATTTTGGTTCCCAGTCTTTCTCCACCTCCGATCTTTTCACATCATCCCTACCCTTCCTTTTTGTCAGTACAAGGAACGCTCCCCCATTGTCTTATTCTCTGTCATGGCCACTGTCCCTCTTGTTTTGCACCACCTCTTTAGCTTCCATCTCAATGACAAAGGCAGAGAGTGCTTGTCCGTAGTGAGGACGCGTGAGAGAGAGAAAGAATACGGTCAGTTTTGCCGTTTTGGTGGTCTGCCATTTAAGGTGAAGAGAAAGGAAGGAGAGGAGGTGGAGAAAGAAGGAATTACCAAACGACGCCGTTTGCAAATATTTATGTTGGTCTTCATTGTTATAAATTTGATTGTGATTGTACCCCTCTACACCCAGCAGTTCCCAATTGCTTTTCCTACAATTTTGAATATTTCGACATTGACCCACCAAACTTTTAAATTAATTACCATTAAAACCTTAATAATAAAATCCGAAATTAGTTCTCTTCTTTTTGTATCTTCGTTTTCTTTTCATTTTCTTCTTGTTTTTGGTATTTATGATAAAAATGGCAAATGAGAAATTAAACTAAAATTTAAAGTTTAAATGAAACGAAACCTAATAATAAGAATAATAGTAATAATAATAACAAATAAAAATAACTATAAATATTTATGGGAAATCTACACTATGTAAAATAAAAAAATAAAAATAATCTAAAGTATGGGGTCAAAATTTTATGGCACATGTTTAACTCAGGAAAGGAACAATAAGCTAAAGAAGAGTTTTAGCTATAAGCGCAGAATAGCCAAGGCAGAACTTGAATCTCCTTGCGTTTCCCATATATTGAAGCCCTTAATTATGTTTCATATGCAACTATGTTTTGCAATGGCCTTAATAAACCAAGCACCCCTCCAGATTGTCCACTGCAGCACTATATTTCCTTGTTTACGTAAAACAGCTAACACAGGCATTTCCACGCCAGGGATGCATGCAAAGTTGCTGCTATTGGTTTAGTTTCCGTACAGGGCATTTATTATGGCATTCCTTCCACTTTGACAAATGTTTCAACTGCTATTTTCCATTAATTCAGCCTTGTAGTAAGAAACAATCTTGTAGCAAAATGTTAGCCATGCTAAAGATACAACTTCTCATCCAAATTCCAAATAAATCTCCTTTTCATTCTCTGAATATCCCTTCGTAGCAAAGAATGATGATATCGTTATCAATATCATTACAAATACAGTTTGTAGTTTAACGATCTTTCACTCTCTGTCCAGAAAGCGTGCTTCCAGCTCATTACATAAAAGATCCACAAACTTGCTTATTGAGCCTTGTGATAAACAAACAGATGAAATATTTATGCAAAAGCAAACCCAAAACATTCTCAAGAAAGAGAACAAGAAATTTCAACCTTTTTTTTTTTTTTTTTTTTTTGGTGGGCTGCAGAGATGAGGGGGAGATTTATGGACTGACAAAATGCTATTGCAGCTTACTCCGTGACTTACTTTATTTCCTCGCAATTTCAAATTCAGCACCAATTGGTAGATGATCGCTTGGGTGGTAATAGTTTGGTAAGCCACCAAGAACATCAGGCGAGTTCGCTTCAGGAAGTTCAAGGAAACTGACTGGTTTTATTTGGTCGTCAGGGAGAAAGAATATATAATCAAGTGTATTTGTGAAGTCAGGAGTGTAGTTTGTGAATGGTGGTTCTCCTCTTGTACTACTGTAGACACTGCACAGGGGAATAGGAAGCTCATCCAAACATTCCACCTGTAAATTTGATGGAGAGTTGCCAGATACAAGATACTGGTAAACCTGATATAAAAATGCAAAATTATTTACTTCTTTGATGTTTCCAATAGATTGTAATTGCAAAATATCATTTCACGCATCATGACAAGCACTACCACTACTTCGAAGAAGGGCAGCAAAGCACAAACCTTATCCCCTGGTATTGAATTGAAGTCACCAGCAAGAATTACAGAAGGAGTGCATTCAAATCTGTCAGAAACCAGTTTCTTAAATCGAGCTAACCGTGACAGAAGATATTTAGCTTGAGCAAGCTTGACGTCTGCCCATTCCGGATCCCTGAAACAAAATGACCCGTATGCATCATAAATAAAATACAAAATGTTGCACACTGCAAGAAACCAAGATACAAACACATGATGCTCCTACTGGAAATAAAACGGACCCACTTACCAGTAGATGTGAGTGTTTGCTACAATAACATGATAGAAAGTGTCCTTGAGTCTAAAAGCAGCCATAATTCCAACACAGTCTCTCTTTAATCTTATACGAGGATCATTAGGATCTCCACGATCTTCGGAAGTACTGTTTGATGATGAACCTGAAGACAGAACATTGAAAAAGTAATCAAAGCCTTCCCTAGATGATTCGTTGGGTTCTCAACAATCATTCCAAATCCACCACCCCACTCCCCTTTTTCTGAAACCAGAACACCAGATTGTACCACATTTTCTTTTGCAAGGATTTCTTAATTTTCATTAATTTTAAACTAAACAATGATGTAGTAGTGATAAATCACTCAGACGAACTAGTACCCAGAAGAAAAAAATAAAAATAAAATAAACCACTCTAACATTTATGGTTTTCACAACATCAAATTGGAAGAAATACATACAGCATGTGAGAAGTCAATAAAGAAGAAAGAAGGAAAAAGATATAACAAGCAGCAGCCTGAAACATTACCATTCTTTGGTTCACTGCTTTCATTTCCATTAGCCTGAATATCATTCTGTTTATCATCGCATAAAATTGACTCATCTTCGATTGAGTTGACAAGATCATTGTACTCTATTCTTTCCTCTAGGATCAAATCTGCACTGAAAACAGGGGACAGGAGAATTAAATGGATAAATGACTTAGATTGTTGAATGTGTAACTATGACCATGTGACTTTAAGAGATTTGATGATTTTAATAGATGAATTGTTATGTGAACTTGAAATCACAGCAATCATAACACAGGACAATGTAAACGATGAAAAGAAGTGATATACCAATAAAGCTTATTTCAGCTTCTATGCAACACGAATGGAAAACTTCCATCCTGTTCCAGAAAGCTTCTGTATTTGATTGCATCCATTGCAAATGGAAAGGTAAAGGAACCTTAGTCATTGGCCATAAGCCAAGGACTTCCTATAAGTGAATAATTACTAAGCCCGCCTTATTTAAAACACTGAATAAAATTGATGGTGCTGCAGAGATGAATAAAGGAAAGTCATAGCAGCTGACGTATTTAAATCACCTATGATTCCAAATAATGGTCATTCTAAAAAAAAATACGCAAAGTAAAATTATATTTAGTTTTAGGATTAAGGTTAAGTTGAGCTTGGTTGAAATAATATTTTACATTCAAACTGTACACCAGAATGCTTTGGGCTTGTTATACTTGTACATTGGAGTATTGGTTTGCCCTTTTCTACTTAAAGAATCTTATGATAGTTTGCAAATATTGTCGAAGGGAATCTTAAGTTGATCTACATAGACTCAAAAAAAAAAAAAAAAAAAAAGGATATCCAGCATACCAGTTGGGCTTATAAAATATTCCACAGCCATCTCGCTTCTGCCCACTTCTTTGAATATAAATACTGGAATAACCATAACTTTGTATATTTTTCTTGTAAAAGCTATCATACTCATCCAATTCCTGGTAAGGTTTATGATAAGAATCAGACAAGTAGAATAAATGCATGTCTATTACTGTGTATATAAACATGCATATGCAAAAAATCCAAAGAATACCAATAACAAACAAGAAAGAACAAAGATAAATTCCAGTTTTCCATAGTTTCTCAGTAAAGAGAACCAAGAAACCACCTGTAGGCAGAGGAAGTCAGCCCCAAGGTTCTTGAGAACAGTTAAAATTGCTTGGGAGCGAGCTTTCCACCTGTATGAAACATTGATAGCAAATGAAAACCAACTCAGTTAGTGCAGATGTTGAAATATCAGTAGCAACTTAATAACCTCAGGAGGATGAAGAAGTGCAATTCACATTTTCAACTCATTCTAAATCTTCTCTGTAGTAATGGCGATAATATGGATTCCTTGATATTAATGAGATAGATTACACAAATTCTTTAACATTGGTAATGTTGGATTTTTTATCATGGGTTGGGGAGAGGAGAGGGAAGGTACGTGACATTTTCTTGTTAGTTAGGAATTTGTATACGGCTAAGACAAAGAGGTCTTGGTAAGGATAGAATCTTATTCTCTTAGGCATACGATGATCAAGAGTATAGTCCATGGTCAATGGCTGAGATGCCCTTGCCCTTGTTTGAGTTAATATTACTCGTGCGAGTCCTTAGAAGTTCATAACACAAGTATTGAATTACAGGTAGTAGGTGGGAAAAAAGCCATTCATAACATAAGGTAGTAGGTGGTTTTTGGCCAGCAGCTATTGAGAGTGGATAACCCTCTTCCTATTGCCCGAATGTTGGGGGGTGGGTGGGGGGAGGGGGAGGGAAGACAAAACATTTACGACAAGGTTCATCAAAGGAACCTAAATGCTAGTCATTTGTAAGCCAAAATATAAACTTGTTAAAAAGGGATGAAAATTTAGTAAGAAGATTTACTTGAGGCAAGGAGACGGAGAGTACGGAAAAAGAGAACTCTTCACATAAACCTAAAGAATAAAGCAATTTGAAGATGTTAGAAACAGAGCTATGAATAATGAGCATACAAGCACCAAAGCTCCAAGTTCCCCAATCATTAAGCATTGAAGAAATTCGTAGTCTAAACAAAACATCAAGGACAGAAGTCATGCACAGTATGCATAATCAAAATAATAGTATTATATTTCTGTCTAGTTCTGAAAATTTTGAAAACAAGGAATAGAACAATAATATATATTCTAGCATGCAATCCAATTATCATAATTGCATTCCTAGATCATGTGTGCGATTATTGCATACATTTCATCAATTGGACACAACCCCTTTCCTTAGATTTTCTGATATTACAAACTTGGAAATGAACCCATGAACAGGTGTCAGTATTAAAAAGTTTATCATTCATACCTGAGCCAAAATGTTATAGGAGACAAGACTGAATCTAAGACCTGCAATATCATGAATAAATTGCATTAAAAATGTAAGGTATTGTTGGCATGTGGAACTAAAAACTGCGGCAAGAGAATAAATAACACAGTAAAATAAAACCTTATTACCATCAGGTTTACTTCTGGAGTAAATGTCACCTCCTTCAACAGAAATAAATTTTGGGCATACTGGTGATGGTGGTGCTGCTGTTTTTGAGCTCATTTCGCTCAAACAGTTTCTTCTACTGCTAGAAAATGTGAGACCCAGATTAGAAGAAGCTTAATTAAATCAACTAAAATCACTGAAAATTATGAAAACCAAAGTAAGCTTCGCTACTGAGAGAAAAAGAGATTTTGCCTGGTGGAGATAGAAGGAATAGGTAGGCGGGTAAGTGAAGAGAGGGATTTTTGCATGGTCAAGTTCAGATAAATACTACTACTGTCTTCTTTAAAAGTTGAACGCTCACAAGGTGTTTGTTTTATTGTTTTGAAAAAATGACAAGTTGCAAGGAGTACTAAGGCGGGACTCGGCCTAATAAAAATAGAAACCCAAAACCCACATTTTTTGTTTATTTGGGCCTGTAGAAGCATGAGAGTCTAGAATTGGGCCCAAACATTTACACACATATGCCTTTGGAGGATCCTTGATCAAATGATCATTTTGGTAGTCCAATTTCAATGGCCTGGTCCGTACTCTCGTTGTTAATGGTTTCTGTCTGAACCTAATTATGAATATGAAGAAGAAGTCTTTGACAGACGCTGACCTGCTCTGTTTCTCCACCATCTAGCAGTAGCTTCCACTTCAACGCTTAAAAAATTGCTAGTGAGTTTCCCACCAGAAATCTTGCAACTCCATTAATGCTTTCGTGTCTATCAATGTCAATTAATATTTTATTAATTTGTGATGCTTTCCCTGCACGTACGAGAAATTATTCAAAACTTTCTAGATATATAACCAAAATATTTTAAAATATTCAAACTGTAACAACTTAATTAAGAACTAACTAATGACCTATTTTTTAATTTCTTTCTGTGTCAGTAATTTGTCACTTTCTTCGTTGAGAATTTTATGTTAATTTATGGAACTTCATTAAAGATGCCAAAGAGGAACATGCAGCTCAAAATATTCAACTGTTTCTCGTCATAAGTTTGTATTTCCATGCACTTCTTTCCAGCTCAATTTCGTATTAATTTATTTTTTCTATGGAACTTATTGATTCTTAGTGCAAGAATGTGGGAACATGCTTCTTGTTGACAACTTATACATGCATTAAGAAATTGGATTATATATATATATATGATCTTCTCATAACAATTGTAGCTCCATTTGAACGTTGCCTATACATTTGCAACCTTAAGCCATCGAATTTTGGTTTACATAACGAAGCAATTCTCTTCATTTCATCCATAACCTCTTCAAAATTTCTACTAAGCCATTTTAAGATTTGAAATCTGAAACTTCCAAAGTTGAAAGTGTTAAGTTTTAATCATTCCGTTGTATTGGAGCCAATTGCGTACTTAGAAATCTAAAATTAATTCCTAAGAATTGACTGCTTCCATCATGAACCCTAAACAGTATTGGAAAAGGCTCTCCAGTACTAGTTGCTTGATTTTGGTTGTTGGCATAATGTGCAACACGCACTGAAAAATCAAGGACCAAAACATTCTTTTATAGTAAAATAAGCTGTCATCGATTTCTAAGGATATACAGGAAGTGCAGAATCACAATCTCTTTTCGACTCGAGCTAGGAAGGAGATATTAATTCCATTCAGATTTGACTTGACCCTCCTGGGTTGAGATGCAAAATTCATCATTCAGCGTTGTGGGGAGTCTCGTCTGAGAGATTGACATGACTTGTAACCAGAGAAGTATAACTTTGTCATTTTTTAAATAATTATTTTTAGGATAATATTAAATTAACTGAATAAATTGTTATTTTTACCTTCTTTTTTAAAGCAATTACCAATAAATCTTCCACTATATCCTTCACTAATTACTAATAATTATTATATAACAACTATTAATGAATGATGTATTGGTAATTTAAAAAAAAATTGTTGGAATAACAATTTGATTGGTAGTACTCTTATTTTTATTGTGATATTTTCTTAAAATTGTTAGATTTATTTAATTAGGAAATTAGCAACTATAGAATTTTATTTTTATTTATTTTTATTTTTTCTATTCAGTATTATTAGGATTTTTTAATTTTCTATTTAAAAGTTTGTAATAACCTTTTAACAATAAGTCTTTGGTGAATAAAGATTACGTGTTTGTAGGTGCCTTTTCCTAACTAATGGTGTTCTTGGTCTTTAAGGGTTTTCACGCTTAATAAAAAGAAAAAATCTTTTTTTGCTATCTGTCACGTCACTTGGTTGTTGGACTGTTCCATGTTTTACAGATAGAGAGAACTAGTCATGCACGGCGCTTCGCTGCGGAATTTTAGGCGGAGTTATTTATTTATTTATGCCGGCAAAGTTTACATTTATTTAAAAATAAAAAATAGCAATGAGTAATTAATATTAAAAGAAAAAGTCAGACAAGCTGCTAATCTGCATAAAGAGTAAGGGCTTATTTGTTAGTAAGAATAGATGTTAATTCATCCATATAGTTATTAGGGTAATGGAGAAGAAAATATAAAAATCAATTCGCTTAAGTTAGAAGAATTGACGACTACTTTCTTGTGCCCTTATCCTCCTTACTAAATAAAATAAACTCTTCAATCTTTACGTTTCATCCGTCCTTTCTTGTCTCTTCCAATAAAGTAAAATAAATAAATAAATAAAGTGCAACCTAAAAAAAAAAGACTTAAGATGCAAGCAAACAAGGCATAAATTTTTAAAAACTTAATTTAGTCCCTAAATTTCAGTATTAAAAGTTATTTATACCTCCAGATTTTTTTTCAGAATATTTCATAATACTCCGATATTTCTAACTTAGCAAACAGACTGTGCTGCCATCTGCCATTGATGCAAACAGGTCGACTGTGCTTCCATTGGATAAGATCTTGTTGTTTTAAAAATATTTAAGCAGAGTTAAAATTCTAAAACTAGTTATTTTTCATAAATAATAAAAAAATTATTAGTCCGTTTACATCCGCATATGCCAATCGTTCTTTAATTTCTTGCTAGAAGGTTTGTTAAAGTCCTTAAGGTGAGTAGTCATATTTTTTTTAAAAAAATTTTACACTTCAAACTTTTGCATAGAAAAATATGAGTAAATTATAAATTAGTTCTTTTAGTTTTGAAAAGAAAATTAATTATTTTTTTCTATTTTAAAAAATAATTATTTATTCTTTTTATTATTTAATATATTTTTGTTTTAAAAATAAAAAAATAGCTAGATATTATAAAAAGATTGGTGAGAAAAAAATATTTTGTTTGAATAAAATATTAAATTAAGTATAATCAATTCTATTCAAGAAACTCAATAATTAAAAACTAATTAATTCATTTCTTCACGCTAACAAGACTCGTTTATAATCTACTCAAAAAAAAATATGGATCCTTTCTTGGCGATATCTAGAGATAACAATGATCAAATATAAAATGGATATCCGTTTTATCTGATCCAATAAATACTCATTAAAAATATTCAATTGATATTGAAGTAGATAAAGGATAAAAAAATACATATATATTAATATAATTTCAGAATATAGGTACCCACTCTTTATCCTATATGAATCGATAGGATAAAAATTGAATTAATTAACAGATATTTCTCTGTTGTTATCCCTATAATGATATTGCCATTGCACTTTCCTATACTCGGTAGTTTTGGGACGTCTGCGACTACTTCGTTAGCGTAAACCGTGCAGCTTCGTCTTCAAATCCGCGTCCATGCACATTAATACATATGAAGCTACCCAAGCATTGAACCGGCTTGCTTGCAGCTTCTTGGTTCGTGTTTAACACCCAACCCACCAGGTCAAGGGTTGAAAAGTGATGATGACGGAGAGATTACAACAAATTAAATGTGAAATTGAAGCAATTTCTTAGCAATCGTATTTTTAAAACAGAGGACTCTCGCTTTTGCTGAACGTTGTTGCATGGCACGCGGCCCAGCCCGAAAATGTATATATACGGGCTATGGCATTTGGCAACCGTAGCTTTTCCTCTCTGTATTTCTTTTTTCTGTCACAACATAAGTTGACACCTGATCATTAATTTCATCCGGCTACACTGACAAAAAATTATGGCATTTCCATCAACGAGTTCATTGCCAATTAAAGAGCAGACAGAACGAGCTGAAAGTCAATTTCAGCAGATTGGACTACTAAATGCAGTTGAAGATACATATGGAGGAGTTAAGGTAGATGTTGAAGAACCTATGGACTCTAATGTCTATGTTCCTCTGCTTAGAGCTTCAATGTCACAATGGAAGCAGCAGGTAAATCAAACTGAGGACCTTCAAGAAAACAGTTGGCTAGCAATATTTAGGCATTTTTATCTTTAGAATCGATCAATCTTCTACGTTTTAGCGATGTTTTAGATTCATTTATTATAACATTAATAGATTATCATTCTATAACATTAATTCTAATATTTAAGCTATGCCTGCAGGGTCATGATTGTGCTATAAATTACAAAGAAAAACTCTTAATTATTAGCAACATGATTGATTCTTCTTCTTACTTCTTCTTTTGTGTGCGTATTTTCTTTAGGGGAAGAAGGGTGTTTGGATCAAGTTACCTAGTCAGCTTGCTAATCTTGTCGAACCTACAGTTAAGGTAATTAAACACAAACTATTTATATGTTCCGATCGAACGGTACGTATAGAATTTCTATCTCCAACTAGAAATAATTGAAATTGGTGAGTTGTCTCAACTTTGTAAGTGGGAATGATATAGTTTGAACTAATGAAACGCGCAGGAAGGATTTAGGTACCACCACGCAGAACCAGATTACCTGATGTTAGTGTATTGGATTCCTGAAACTCCCGATACTCTTCCTGCAAACGCCTCCCATACTGTTGGTATTGGTGCCTTCGTCATGAATGATAACAGAAAGGTACCTAGCTTTTTTCATATTGTAGCCTTAACATGATGGATAACATAGCCGTTTTCCTGTGACCAGCCGCTTGTAAGGGAGGAAAATTTCAGTTTTAATTTTTGAGCCTCTTTCCTCTGGCCAGCCGTTTGTAAGGGAGGAAAATTCCAGTTTTAAGTTTTTGACCTGTCTGGTATATGCTAACTTTCGGGTCAGACACTAGCTACTAGAAGGGTCAATTCAGATAGGTACTGCTAGAAGTCCGACAAGATAAGGGGAAAAAAAGTCAAAAACTAGTGATGCCATGAAAAACAAAAGGGCCCTGTATGTAATGCGTTTCGGGTATGTTTGAAATTACTTTTTAAAATGCATTTAAATTATATATAAAAAAAAGTTCGTTACTTCCTGAGGTTGATTTGAATAAAAAAGATTTTAATTATTTAAATAAATAATTTTAATTTTAAATCTTTATATATATAAAAAAATTTAAATATTCTATGTACGTCTGATTGAAGAATATGAGATTAGTTTGAATTTTTAAATTTAAGATACTATCAAAATAAAAAATAAAAATGTTAATTAAAAAACACTTTTGCAAACGTATTTACTCCTGCTATATCAATGATACACTAGATGGTGACTTACCATGGTGGTGCAAGCAATTGAATACCATTAGTTGTAATTTCATTTTTCAATAACTAGTTTATTGACACATGCTTCGCAAATGTATTGTTTAACTAATATATAATTATTTATGGATGAATGAATTTGAACTTTTATTAAATAAACATGTTTGATTTTCAAATATATAATTTAATATAAAATGTGAAAATAATAATTAAATTACCTTCTTCTTTTTTTAATAAAAGATTGACCATATAGAATAATTGTAGCTGGACTTGAGTAAAAACTAGGGATATAAATTGAATTATCTTTCAAAATTTAATAATTATTAATTATGATAAATACATGTAACTCTAAAAAAATAATTACTAAATTTTTTTTATGTAACAATGTGAACCTTTTTATTTCAAATACTTCTTTTCTATTATATGAAACATATATAAATATAAATTAATAACACAAACATAAATAAAAAGTTTATAAATTATTTTTTCCTAATAAATCTTGCCTTTCTTTTTAATATTATTAATGTTTGCTCAAAGGAGTAAAAGATAATGTAAGATAGTAACAAAAAATAACTTATAAAAAATTGACCAGGGATTCAATTTAATAACTTTATAAAATTTTATGTAATTTAATCATATTCGTATTTTAATTAATACTTAATGTTTTTATTGATTTGTATTAAGTATTTTTAGAGTTTTGATAATCGGATAAAATACCAGTATATTATTATATAGTTTAATTAAGAGTGATTTAAGAAGATTGTTTTATATTATTTATGGTTTAATGTGACGTGTAAATAAAAAAAATAATAATAAACGGGATTGACTTATATTTTAGGATTCGTTTCAAAATATGACATATTTTTTTAAGAATAAATAATTTTCTCATACTTTTTTTTTGTTTTTATAAATATTGTTCTTCAAATGAATTAATTAATTTATTAATATTGGTAGTATACTTGATCTTTGTATTGTGGTATATATAATAGTCAATTAAAGTTATGTGATAGCTTCGTGACGTACTTTGATTTTGCAATCTGAAATCAAATGGTTCCACTTGGCCGCAGGTATTAGTAGTTCAGGAAAAGAATGGTGCGTTCAGAGGCACAGACGTATGGAAATTTCCTACGGGCGTTGTTAATCAAGTGAGTGTCATAGAAGAGTTATGCTAAAATTTGTGTTTTTCTTTTGGTTACAAAATATTGTTTAAATGCTTCTTCCACGTATGTTATATACTGAAGTTCCATTATCCATGTTCACAGGGCGAGGATATTTGTACAGCTGCAATTCGAGAAGTGAAAGAAGAGACAGATGTAAATTAAATTCCTTGGGTTTATACAAAATTTTAAGTATTAATTTGTGCTTTTACGTAGGTAGTTCCTTAATTTGAAGTCACAACATCTCCTAGTTTAATATTTTTGGCTTTGTTTTGGTTCAGATTGACACAGAATTTGTGGAAATTTTAGCATTTAGGTACGAACTTTCCTTCGCATTCTATTCATTCATTTGTTGATATCTTTACCTATAGTTTTTTTTTTTTTTTTTTTAATTTATATCACGCGAATGTTAATTAATTTCCTCTATTTAAAGAAACATGATATATATAACTATCTATTTATTAGCTGAGAGCATGGTATATAAATTAACCATTCCTTTTTCTACTATTTGATTTCTCACACATATATATATTTTTTATACACAGCCAAACACACCAGGCATTTTGTGGAAAATCGGATTTATTTTTTGTTTGCATGTTACGACCACTCTCCACTGACATCAAAAAACAAGATTCAGAGATCAAGGCAGCACAGGTTACTTTTCTATCTTGCAAATTTGCTGCTAACATTTTTTTTTCCTTGTGTAGTGTATATAAGTTCATTTTATAAAGCAAAATATTAATAAGTGCTATCATATTTTTAAAAGATTAATAAATTCATTTTAATAATTTTTCTTTAAGGAAAATCCACATTTAATTTTGTTACCTCTTTGCTTTTAGTTTTCTTAAGAAAGATATCATAATTTTTTTTTTTTGAAAGTCTATTTTTTCTCACTTGTAAAATGGTATATATATATGTTGTTTTCATAGCATGTAAATTTTTTTATCATACCTTTATTTGAAATCTTTATCAAATCCAAATGAAAATTTTATAAACATTCAAAGCATAATTAATTCTTAATATTTTTTATTTCGTCAAAAAATCAATGGTTATTAACTTTTTTTTGTAAATAATCATAGCAAATAGAAAAAATAAAATCATACAATAATAACCATCTTTGGTTACAACAGTCAATAGTTATTATTTTTAAATACGTGCTTTTATATATAGACATAGGTTTGCACATGTACATGGTCATAGGAGTGCATCGTGAAAAAAGAAGTAGAAAAAAACAAACTGCTACTCATAATAATTAATTTCATTTATTTATTTATTTATTTTTCTCAGTGGATGCCAATTGAGGAGTACGTAGCCCAACCTTTCAATCAAAAACACGAGTCATTCAAAAATGTTGCTGAAATATGCATGAGTAAGTCAAAGAGCAACTATAGCGGATTTTCCCCGGTGCAAACATCGTCATCTTCGGGTAAAAAGTCCTACTCTTACTTCAACGAACTGCAGCCTGAGAAAACTCCACAAGTAACGGCGTAGGAGTTGAAAGGTTCAGTCATGTTGTGCAGCGCCATCCGAGGATGCACCCAAAAAACTCCACAAGCTCTCTCTTGCTCTTTCCGTTTTTAATCTCACAAAATAATAAGGATTACTCAAAATAAATGAATTCATGCGTTAGAGGATGAGACTCGCTCCTTTTAAATCTTCCTATTAGCTTTTTAACGGGATGATGATATCCTGAATTTAATTATGTGATCAATTCATCTATAAACCTATTTTCTTAATAAGTAAATGCCAATAAAAATATACGTTACCTTGAATCGATTGGAGCAATGAATGATCAAAGTCTTACTCTTATGTATTTGTAATTCAATCTCATCGCTTTGGAAACAATTGCTCTCTCTCTCTCTCTCTCTCTCGTGCTGTAAAAATGTAAGACAGCCAAAAGTGGCCTTTTTCATTTTTTGGCCCAGGACGAAAAATTTGGGGGGTGGGTGGGTGTTGGTGTTGGTGTTGGAAGGGGGTTCAAAACTGAACCCAAGCCGTCTTCACAAGCGTCAGAGTTAGAAGGTACATAGGTGGACGAGGTGAGCGGCTTAGTTTGCAAATAAGATAACAAGATGACAGACGAAATCTAATTAACAGTTTTTTAGTAAATTATGAATTAGTCCTTTTAGTTTTGTAAAATAAATTAAATAATCCTTTTATTTTTTTAAATTAATTAATTAGGTTTTTTTGTCAATTTCATGTCTTTTCCTAATTTCTTTCATTTTCTAAAGAAATATAAAAGGTAATATATATATATATTATGAAAACACTGATAAGAAATAAAAATATTTTTTCAAAATAAAATAAAATCAGTTTTCATCTACGTTACCTATAGCTGGATCATATTATTTATTTCATGTTTTAAAAATGGAAGATATGATTTTCTATATTATTGGTTCGTTCAGTTTCCTTTTGTGCATTAAAACGAAATGTTTGATTTTTTCTTACTCTAGGAACATTCAGTCTTAGTCAAGAGAGAATTTAATAAAAATTCAAGAATATTTAAAATCTTTTTTTTCAAACGTCAAGAATTTTAAACAAGATTTTAAATTAAAGAATATTTAAAATCTTGATTGGCTACTAAATGTAAGATTTGGTAATAAAAAAACATAAATCAATGTTTAAAAAATCTCAAGGGCAAACAACATCCACAAGCATTATGGTGCCATTTGTATCTATTGAGAGTGCAAAGCTGTCGAGATTCGGGGCATTCGAGGATAAAGTATGCTTTGGTCATTCGTCTCGGTTGAACAACAGTTTTGTCCTTATTAAAATATCAATTAAATCCTCAAACTTTTCTTCAATTTCAATCAAAACTTTCCATCCAATTAAATGACAGAATTTTTTTTATATAAAATAAAAAATTTCCCTGAACTATAAAAATAGCAATGATTTGATTCTTGAATGAGGACTTCAGCATACCATAATGACTAATATAAAAATAAAAAAATGAACATAAGTATTAAATTTATTTATAATAATTTTAGCATCATTTTTCCACATGACCTTTAAGAGCAATAATATGTTAACCAAAACCAGACCACAAGGTGGTAGCTTACTAGTAAGCAATTGATAATTTGTAGATTAAGTTTAGAGTTGAATTTTTATGGTCGGCATTTCTAAAAATTTATTCTTAGAATATATGAGACCTTGCGTTAGAGAGTACCATTTAGTCACGTCCAAAGATATTAATTTCGAAATACGTAAAAGCTGATCGATAGATACTCTTACTAGTGAACAAAAAAAAAAAAAAATTGTTAATCAAAATCACCTATATAATGTGAAATTTGTATAACAATACAAAATTATTTTATAAGTAAATTCGGAAGTAACATACGTTAATAAAATTAAAATTGTAAATACTTGTTTGTTGCAAATAAATAACTCCATTTGTCACTAATAGATTTTTAATCTAGTGATAGTGAGGTTTTTACTCTTATAAGGCATTACAAATTCAATTATCAAAGGAGACTAGAATAGTTTGTCATTTTTATTAGTGGTGGCCAATTCTATCCATCTTCATAATACAATCTTTTTATTTTTTTGGGCCCATCAATTATTAATACTATCTACTTAATGCATAAAAACTTATGTGAGCTGCAAAGTCATAGATACCTGAAAATAAAAACAAAAACCTCCATTTATTATCATCTTAATCAATTCCCTGTTGATTGAGCATATTTTAGGCTCCGTTTGTTTGGGGGAAAACAACTTTTATAAGAAAATCAATTTATAAGAAAGTTATTTTCTAAGAAATTATTTTCCAAAAAATATTTTATACTTGTTTAGCAATTACATGAAACAAACTCGCTGAAAAATATATAGTATTTGATTGTTATATCAACGAGTTTTAAGAAAAATTCAAAAAGGCGTATTCACAATTTCACAACATAAAACAGATTTAGAAAAATTTAATAAATTTTCATAAATACTGACTCTAAAATTTAAATTCAAAAGATAAAATATACTTTTTTAACCATTAAACTAATTCATCAAAATTATTTAGGACAAAATCAAGTCAATATTCACATTTAGTTAAAAAAAAAAATTCTAAGTAATCCTAGCATTGTTATTTTGGTTACTCAATTGAGAATTTTTTTTTTTGAAAATTGAACTGACAATTTAGCTTAAAAAATAATTTTACAAATTATTAATTATCATTTGTAGATAATTATTCATTTGGTTTCAAAAGATTAATGTTGAAATAATTTGTAACTAATTATTCACTACAATTACCAACAAAATTTTACAAATGATTGTAATCTTATAATAATCATTTTTAATTATTTAATTATAGTTTATGTGGTGTTTGAGATGATAGTAAAAAAATAAATTATCGAAACATCTATTATAAAAATAATTTTAAGGTGTGAAAATGATTTTTAAGAATATTTAATGTATTTATAAATAAAAAAAATCAAATGTTAGTAGAAATAGAGAAAAAATAATTAAATAATTAATAATAATTGATAAGTAATAATTAAAAATTAATTTGATATATTTTAAATAAAAAGAAGATAGAGAAAAAAAATTGTTAAAATATATAAAGAGAGAGGTAAGTAAAATGAGAGCGAGATAGTTCATAAGAAAAAATTTTTTTTCCTCTTTTTTAACTCAAAAAATAATTTTTCTAAAATACTCTTATCATTTTTAGCTAACTGAAAATCCTTTTTCGTTGTTTTTTTTTTTAAGTAAAACAAACACTAAAAAAATAAAAAAATCCTTATCACAAATAATTCAAATAAAGCATGTCCCAATTCATCACAAAACAGAGCCCATGGCCCAACGTAACCCTGGGCTTAAAAATTTTAAGAATGGAAACCATTTGGAGCATGGAAAGAGAGCCGATTGCAATACTCACTGTACTCCGACGGATTCTCTCACATGTCTGTGTCATCAGGAATTAAGGACTAGCAAGCTGAGAGAGAAAGCACACGATTCAATTAAACCTAACCCTAAATTAAAATCTACTTCTGCAGAGAACTTACCTCCGGTGATTTTTCTGGCGAAAATTTGAAGTCTTTATTTAAATTATTTTTTCCTTCTAAAAAGAATAACAATGGCATCCGTTGATAATCGAGCTCAATCTGAAACAAAGGTACGTTAATTTTTCTGTGCTGCTATGTCGATTTTTTTTTTTTTAACTGGAGATTTTTTTTTTTTTTTTTTTTTTTTTTTGGGGCTAGGATCAAGCAACAACAAGTACTACAGCCGCCACTGATCAATACAATGTGGAAGCTGCTGAAATTTTAGCTAGTAGCGCACAGGTTTGAATTTCAAGGTTTCAAGTTCTCTCGCGTTAAAGTCTATTTATTGCTTTATCTGTCTATCATTTGATTGTTTGTTGCTTGGTGTTTGTATTTTTAGCATCTGCCAATTGCACAAGCTGCACCAATATATGAGCAACTGGTTTCACTGTTTCCCACTGCTGTGAGTTCTTTTCAACTTGCTTTTCTTTTGGCCTCTTTCTTTAATGTTTTCAATTTTTCATAACAAGTTATAAATTGTCTAAAGTTTTGAACTTTGTGCCAGAAAGAAGAATTATCATGTGTTTTCTGCTCTAAATTGTTCTAAAATGGGTTATGAATACCATTTCGGAACATCTATTAGTGTATATTTTGAGGTTATTTCACTTTATGTTTTAGGCAAAATTCTGGAAGCAATATGCAGAGGCACATATGGCTGTGAATAATGATGATGCTATAAAACAGATATTCAGCCGGTGTTTATTGAATTGTCTTCAAGTTCCTCTTTGGCACGTGCTTCTCTTTTAAATTCATATCTCTCTTTTGGGGAACATCTTCAGTTGATTTTACCTGGAAGTCAGTGGAGTATGGACTTGAATTTCAGCATTTTGTAAATGGTGGTTTTGTAGGCGATGCTATATTCGATTCATCAGGAAGGTCAACGAGAAGAAAGGTGCAGAGGGCCAGGAAGAAACAAGAAAAGCTTTTGAATTTATGCTTGGTTGTGTTGGTGTGTTATCTCCCTGTCAGTTTACTAGTTCATCTAATTATGTTTCTGCCATATGTTATATGTACATTCTAATGTAAATTTAACCAAAATGCAGCAAATTCTGGACATGCTATGTATATAAATTTCAGTTAAATGACTGCAATAACTTCATTTCTCATTGGTTATCCACTGTACATGAATTAAATACTTGAACCTAAAGTTGACCTTCAGAGCCACTGCTTTCTCTCTCACTCCTGTCAGGTTTTGACACCTGATTACTGACACTCCAGGGTTGGCTGTTTTCCTTAAAATAAAACCTTCTATTATTGGCTGCCCTGGCTTGAATTATAGTCCTTTGAGCTTAACAAGTAACTAAAGCAAGTGTGCCAGCAAATGCAGTGGCTGACTGACTGTGTAGGTAACACATGCTATCCGCCTGTACATGCACAAGGCAATTATGTTTTTTCAAATTAAACCAGTTTACTGAAGGTACAAGTACATGTGGATATTAGGTTAATGGATTTGATAAAGGTAGAAAATGGTATTTGTTTAATGATAGTAAATGGGATTGATCTAATGGTGTTCATTTCTGATGCATGTGCTACCAGGGGCAGACATAGCATCGGGGCCTGTATGGATGGAGTACATTACCTTTCTGAAGTCATTACCAGTTCGTTGAATTTCTTATCTATAGTTTCCACCTTTTATTTTCAGATTCAAAGCAACGATTGTTATGAAATGGTTACTCTGTTTAACAATTTTTTTTATCCGTTACTATCTGTTCTTATTATGTGTTATCATGCAGGCCCATAATGCACAGGAAGAGTCCATACGGATGACTGCTATACGCAAAACATACCAGAAAGCTATCGTTACTCCTACCCACCATGTTGAACAACTCTGGAGAGACTATGAAAATTTTGAAAATTCTGTCAGCCGGCACTTGGTAATATTTATCTATGACTTGGATTTGTAATCTAAGCCATATTCTTGTTAAATATGTATGCATTTATACCTATCTGCACACTTATAGATGCTTGCTATCTTATGCTATTTTATTAACCAGGCCAAAGGACTCTTATCTGAATATCAACCAAAATATAACAGTGCCAGGGCTGTCTATAGAGAGCAGAAGAAATATGTTGATGAAATTGATTGGAATATGTTAGCTGTACCACCAACTGGATCTTACAAGGTAATTCTGTACTTGCCTTTGATTTTTAGTGAAAATTGTTCCCCAGATGCACACCATGGTTCTTGGTTTCCAAATTTCTTTTAACTAAACATTCAAATGGGTGGATATATCTGGTGTCATATATGAATGAGCGAGAGCACTAGCAGCTTTCAAGTTAAAGTGTTTTATTCTCCACTTTTCTTGTTATAACTTTAAACCTTGAACAATCTCTCACCTTATCATCGTCGACTTGTCTGCAAGAGTGGGCTGTATAAGAACCAAGGGTCATGAGGATTGTCCATAAGGTCCTAAGACTGATGCACATCTGCTTTCCTGTCTTAAACATTTTGTTTGGAATCTAACCATTGTAGGAGTTAGAGGAACGTTTTTAAATTGGACGAGTTCTGAATCATTTTGAAATTGAGAAAAGTCTTATGCGTCGTAGACTAAAGTAGGAGATTTGCCAGTTGCCACCATAACAGGTTATTTTAGAAGAAACAACATATGACTAGGGTTACTGTGCTGTGACACATGTAATACCTGCCTGTTAGTATGTTTTTATAGTGCAAAAAAAGAAAAAAAGAAAAGAAAAAAGCTCTTATTTGCATGCACATCACTTAGTTTTATCTTTTTGGGCAATCTGTAATACAAATTCTTTCACAGGAAGAACAACAATGGATGGCATGGAAGAGATTTTTAGCATTTGAAAAGTAAGTGGCATGACTCTTTTAGTTTTTAATTATAACATGAATGAATGGTGAATTGCACTTGTGGCATTGGCTGCATTAACGTGTGTGTGTGTGAAAAATAGATAAGATAACCTACTAGCTTTCGGAACTCCTTTAACCAATCCCTCCGCAGGCCCCCTAATCTTCTGATTTTTTAATTAATGGAAGAATGAGCAGGCTTGTGTCACAATATCCTATTTCTTTTACGAGACTTAGAATATAACTTTTCTTTACCTCACTCTGATGCGGAAACCTGGTGTAGGGTGAAAAGAGGGAAACAATCTAAAACAACAATCAAAGCTATAGTATGGTTAGAACTTGAATAAAGTTGAAGTCGCAAAGGATGTTAAGATTTATGGTTTGTAGAAAAACCTCTTTAAGTTTGGATATATTGATAAGAAACATAGATTGTAGCCTATTTATGCTAGTCAAAAGCCCTAATTCCAGTTCTAGTAGGAAAATGATTCACTAGTCGTGGTTGCCAAGTTATACAAACTTAATCTCCAAGAAAATATTTTGAAAATGTTGCATGCTATTGCTAATCACATGGCTCATAACTAATTAATTAAATATAATTCCAGAAACAAAATAAATTATATGAAGCTTCTTCACCACAAACTCTAACACAAATATTAGATGGAATGATCTTGGTTGGTCATGGCCTTCTAGCCAGCTACAAATCATTGGTGCTAATGTTTTTTAGAACACAGTCTAACTGAAAGCCTTAACCTTGGATGACCCCTTGGCTTTCCAAATACATACATCTAATCAGAAATGCAACATATTAGGGTCTGCATGAGACAAGTAAAAATGGTTTTGCAGAAGAACCTATAAAACCTTCTGAAGTCCATATCCCACTATAAGGGGTGGAGGGAAAAGGAATCAAGAATTTGTAGTGAAGTGAGGAGATCCTTAATCCATCTCTCCTTTGAATTCGTTGAATATGAGGGCGATGGCTTTTTGAAAAAGTCTTTTTTGTTTTTGTCTTATAAATGCATTTTTTTTTCTGATTTCTATTGAGAGAGAGGGGCTTCTGTTTCTTAGGATTTGCAGAACATATAAGGTCCCAAGACATATTAGGCCTTTCATAGAATAGAGAGAGATGGGTATTATGCAAATAAGAGAGATTAGTTTAACATAAATCTCATAAATTTGTGTCTTCTGTTTTAGAGTTAAGTTTGAATTTGATCAATTTCCTTTTTCCATGTCATAAAAGGAATATACAATGGCAATTGACTTATTGAACGGAGTGATTCATGTTTATATGAATTTGTTGAGGTTACATGTTCCAGTCACCAGTGCATCTTCATTGCATGGATGTTGATGTTTAGCTAGAGCTTAGATGAGATTTTATTTTGAGCATTTTAAATTAATTTCATATATCTAAATTTCAGAGGAAACCCCCAAAGGATAGACAGCATTTCCTCCAACAAACGAATTATATTCACCTATGAGCAGGTAATATGAGATCAGTGGCTTGTGTTTCTATTGCTGCCTCCCTCTTCCCTTGCCTGGTTCTTTCTTCAAGCTAAATTTAGTGCATATGCATACTTTATTGGAATTATTTACATCTCATTTGTTGATTGTCAGTTCTCAATTAAAGTACTGGGATCTTTGTGCTAGCTTTTTAGATCATTGTAACCATTTATGTAATTTAATAACTTGAAACTCAGAAAAAAAAAAAAGAATATGTAATACAAAACTTGTTCGAACAGCAGCTACGTAGCATGAGCAAGCTAAAAAAAAAAAAAATTGAAATGGAAAGGATAACAGACAAACAAATATCTTCAGAAAAGAAAACATATATTGCTGTGACATATTCCATTTATCACACATTGCAGTTGGAGATTAAAAGTTTCTAGTATTTGTTAGAATAATTCTGGTGCTTAAGAAGGCCACTGAACTACTGTGTTGCTATATGGAATTGGATACTACTAAAAATTTTTGGTTTTCCTCATGGAATGGGATGAGTGATAACTAATCATTCCAGTATATTGTTTTAAATTTTTAGTATTACCTAGTCATAGTTTTATATTATCTATTAGAGAGTACTATGTCTTTTCCTTAACTATCATTTGGATTTTGTTTACATTCAAATATGTTGTATGAAATTTCATGCTTGCTACCGAATTAATGCATATCCAATTTTTAATGCCATTGGCTTTTGTTGAAACATCGTTTCTGGTTCTATATTTTTACATTTCAGCAATGAATTGCTCACTGGGTTGTATTGTTTCCAGTGTCTGATGTATTTGTATCATTATCCGGATGCATGGTATGACTATGCTACTTGGCATGCAAAAAGCGGCTCTATTGATGCCGCTATCAAAGTGTTTCAGCGGGCTCTGAAAGCTCTTCCAGGTCCTCTGGTTTTTTCTTTTACTAAATAAAGTTTTTGAAATTCTAATTTATATTCGTATTACCATTTTTTTATATTATTTATACAATGCTTGGCATATAAATAGGCATATAGTTCAATAATTTACTGTTGTCTATCTCTGACTGGACTGAAGCATCTCTCCCTTTCTCTCTCGTCTACTTTTAATTCTGATAACCAGATTCAGAAATGCTGAAGTATGCTTACGCTGAGTTGGAGGAATCTCGTGGAGCTATCCAGGTATGAAAATTCTGATTTTTCTCTCTATTTTTTTCCCTTCTTTAGTCGGGTGGCTCTATTTCTTCACTGTGTTGATGCAGCCTGCAAAGAAAATCTATGAAAGCCTTCTGGGAGACGGTGTTAACACAACGGCACTAGCACATATACAAGTAAGGAATTCTCAGGCTCCATTGTTGATTTCTTTTTTTCTTTTGAATGCCTTGTGCTTGACATGGAATCTTGGAGACCTAATGAATATTGATGTCTGAACATGAGTGTAGTCATAGCATGTGTTTTGGAAGCTTTAAACTTTAAATTTTAGATGGTTAGTGAGGTGGATGAGTTACTGAGTTATGGAGGCTGCACATAGTGGTTGTGTGTGATGGAATTGTGGCAGTGTTGAAATTACAAATGAATTTATTGCTTTATTGATCTAGACTTCAAGCAAATGTTGAAAATCCAGACAATAAGAAAGGGGTCAGAAAGTTGACGTGTGAAGTTGTGGACAGTTTTGTGGCTTTATTGATCCAATACTTTAAATGAGTGGTAGTCCACAACTCCACATAAGCATATCTGAGACAGAGTGTTGAGATGCAGTGTATTGGAAATGACCAATGGCCAGAGAGTTGTGGCTTTTGATGATGGTAAGCTCTGGGTTATGTCAGCAGCTCCCAAATGTGGTTAATGATACTTCCATCCGGCGAAGCCATGCCTGTCTTTGTGTTTGCTGACAGTGAAGTTGAATTTTCAAAATTAATTTTTTGGCATTTTCCGTATCTTTTTGCAATACAAGATTTTCCCAATTCATTGTACAAGGCATATGGGTAAAATTGTAAAATGACTGCATTCTCATAAGCTAGTTAATTGATGTGTCAGACTGGTGATAAGGAAGGTTCCATAAGTTAGTTAATCCCTGCATTTTTAGTGGAACTACTGTAAACGGGCTCGTTTTTGTTTCTTTCTTCATTTCATTGGTTGGTTTGTCCTTTTGCTTCGTTTTGTGTTTCAACAGAAAATTTTGATCCCATGCATATCCTACACTTGTAATTGGGTCATTGTCTCAATAAAATACTTCATGGATCATGCTACTCTGAATGATTAATTGATTGTTTTTATGGTGTTTCATGCTTGCAGTTCATTCGCTTTCTAAGAAGGAATGAAGGAGTAGAAGCAGCTCGCAAGTACTTCTTAGATGTCCGGAAATCCACAAATTGCACTTATCATGTTTATGTTGCTTATGCTTTGATGGCGTTTTGTCTTGACAAGGATCCGAAGGTATTTTCCTTGGCAAGGATGGGAAAGGGAAAAAAAATTGAAATTTTAGCTTCATGCTTGTCTATACATTGATTGGCAATGAGCAGCTTCTTTTAATTTATGCCAACCAAGTAAAATTATCAAAATTAATCCCACTTATGTTGTATATTCTTGCAGATTGCACACAATATTTTTGAAGCAGGATTGAAACACTTTATGCATGAGCCTGTATACATTCTGGAGTGAGTTCTGTTGTTCTTCTAATTTGAGTTCTGGCATATATTTGGGAATCCATCAGTCCATTCTTTCAAGAATGTGGCATCATGCATGGCTTACCATTAGTAAGGGTACTCATTGATGGTCATGTGCTCAACTCTATCGAAAATTATGCATCTGAAATTGTTACTTAACTAGAAATGTCATACTTAGTAATTTTTGATAGTTTCATGGCTGTATGGGACATAGATGTAGGATGCAGGGGGATCAGCCTGGTGACCTGAACGGGGTTTTGGACTGATTGTGCCTCCACAAATTCATGAACATTACATCTTTGTGTTGTGTTATGAAAAAAAGCTGATATGCTAGCACTAGGCTAGATGTTCATAATTGTTTTATTTGTTAATATGGTTTCTCCAAATGTCAAAATTTCCCCTGAATGTTGCAGATATGCAGATTTTTTGTCCCGTTTGAATGATGACAGAAACATTCGAGCTTTATTTGAGCGGGCCTTAAGCTCACTACCACCAGAGGAATCTGTTGAGGTTTTCACTATCTTGTATCTCATTTTCATACATTTATAAGCATAATAGATCATTATGTCATAGATTAAGCGGGTTTTTTCCCTCCTTTCGAGACTGTCATAAAGTAAGATTCAGTTTGGCATGACTTATGACTTTGAGTCATGTTTCAAAAATTATTTTTCACAAATAACTTATAAGAACAATAAGTCAAGTTAGAAGTATGTTCAACAAAAACTGATTGAAAGCAAGAATTGATAAGTTTTTTTAAGTTAAAAATTTTAACTGTTGATTAAAGCAAAAAATTTGACTCAATTTTGTAACAACCTGTAGATTAAATTATTTCTAACCGAATATTTTTATGAGTTTCCCTTGAGTCAGAAGTTAAAGAACAGCTTAAATCAATTTGCAAAAGTCATACCAAATGGAACCTAAGGTAGGTAAATTTCATTAATTTATTACACAAGAATGAATACATAATTAATTTGGTTAATTAAGCTTGGAAAATATAGCACATAATTACAGTAATAGGTTTGGTTCAGTATAGAAATATGGATTATAAGATCATTTTGCCTTGAAGAGTTGGTGTAAATAGCGCAAGCTGTGAACATTTGCTTAAAAGCCAAATTGTTGCTTTGTGACCATTGTTCAGATGTCAAAGCATTCAAAAGTTTTTGTATGATCTTGGCTTGAGATTTTTTTGAAAGGCAATAATGTATTTTATTCTCATAAGTGCTTCTACAGGTCTGGAAACGATATACCCAGTTTGAGCAAACATATGGTGATCTTGCCAGCATGTTGAAGGTAATATGTTGTTTTTGGTATGTATTTTAACACATGGAACTGTTACTATTAAATTCTTTTGACAGTACGTGCCATGATGATTATTGTTTCACAGAATGATCAATGATAAAACAGAACAGCTACTGTTGAGCCTTCTTGGGTCAGAGTTGTTCTTTTTATCTATATTTTTCTCCCATTTCCTCACAAAAGAGAGATGTCTCTCTGAAACTTAAAATTATTTTTCCTCTTACACCTTACACCATATGCTCCTAATGCCTGCCAAGACATGCGATCTAGCCTCCATATTATACCAAGGATCTGTCGCTGTTCCCTCCATCTAGAAATACCACATGCTCTTAACCATTGCATATTTCTCATTCCTTCTACCCCCTACTCTACCATTGGATGGGTGTCATGCATGGACTCATTCAATAACATTTTTAATCTCTGGTATTTGCTTTTTTTTTTTTTAATTATAATGGCTATGGAACTACCAAACACATAAGAAGTATTGATTCACACGAGTTCAAAAGATTCTTTCAACCCTTTCCAGCATCATTTTGTACACCCATAATGCACAAATGCATGTAGTCCAACCTGTTAAATGGGGGTCAGACAACTCTTTGCGAACTAATAATAACTTGATATCCTCATATTGTTGGGAGGTGTGATCATCACTTGTCATTTGACTGGTCTCAATTGATATATGAATATTACTGGAAATCTTCTTACTCTTTTTTTCTCTTTTGATGATTTTGAGCCATTCTGTCCTAATGTGGTTATTGGAGAGGAGAAAATTATTCATCAAGAAGATTTGGAGGGAGTTGACATAACGTGGGAACAGGGATTGTCAGAGTGCACATTTCCAACAAACTACATGGGAATGAGAGTCTGGAACTCCCAACAACTGGAAATATGAAAAATAACTTAGCTACTCACAAGCAATATTATTCTCATCAAAACTTCATAGACTATTAAAAAAATTTTCATGCTGCAAAAACTTTGATTACAATTTTTCAGTCCTAACTATTAGTAGCTTAATATAGGTTGAGCAAAGAAGAAAAGAAGCCCTTTCGAGGACAGTTGAAGATGGAGCATCAGCATTTGAGTGTTCATTGCAAGATGTAGTGTCACGTTATAATTTCATGGATCTGTGGCCATGCTCTTCTAAGGATTTGGATCACTTAGCTCGGCAAGAGGTACCAATTGGAAGCTTTTTGCTTATTTGGTATATGGAAATGGCCATTGCTTGTCTTCTAACAATTTAAATCTGCAGTAGTGACAGAAAATTTCAGATAGTTTTCGTTGAAGCTTTCTAGATGCATTCACATTTAAGCTTCATGTGTTTTCCATTCTATTTTTATGGTGGATTCATGAGAAAAAAATTATTTGTGAGAGGGAACTTTAAGACCTTTAAACAAATTATAAAAAAAAACTAAAACAATATAGGTTTTTACTGTAATTAAGTCCATGCTAGAGTAACATCAAAACGGCATCGTTTTGAGTCTCTTTGGCTTGAAATGATGCCGTTTTGACAAAAAAATTTAGTGATATTTAGAAATGATTTCAGTTTAGTTCTCAATGTTCTATGTTTATACAAAATAGCCTCAATGTCATTTGTGCAAAATCTAGGTCCCTGAATAGAGAGAGAGGACAGAAAAGGCAGGAGAGACAGAGAGAGGGAGGTTTGGTTTTTGGATTTCTAGGGTGGATTTGATGGTTTTTTGAGGTTAAAAACAGATTTTTACATCAATTTTAGGGTGTTTTTAGGCGAAATAGTGTAGAACTGGGTGTCGGGGGCCAAAAACAGTGGCCACTCAATTTTCCGGTGACAAAATTGTTGCTGAAAATTGTAGGTGGTGGTTGGAACTAGCTGGAGAAGAAGGCAAGGAGGATGCTTCGTCCGTGTCGCTCTTTTTTTTTTTGTTTCTTTTCACACATGGGTCGTCCAAACTAGATGGACTGGCCTAGGAGCGCAACTGCCCAGCTTGCTTTTTTTTTTTTTTAATTATTATTTTTTTTTATTTTATAGTTTTCCTTCTCTCTCTCTCTCTTTTTTTTTTTCATTATCTATTATTTGCACAAATATCAATTTTTTCCAAATAATTAATAGCTGTTTTTGTATTTTTCATATAATCTCACAAGACAATAATGACTCTTTTTTTTTGCAATTTTGCCTTTTTTTAAAAAAAAAAGTATAAAAAAGAATCATTATTCCCTTAAAAAAATGATTAGTTACTAATTTTTTTTTGGATAATAATAGAGGTTTGATAATTGATAAATGATAATTAATTAATTCAAATGCATAGTTTTAAAAATTTAATGACAATAACACCGAAATAAAATTGATATAAAGCAGATTTTTTTATTAAAAAATTATATCAACACTAGTTATAGATTAATATTGAAAATAAAGAGTCAAAATAATAAGGATTTGATAGTTAATAATTTATTTTTTAGTTTGTATTGATTTTTGGTTTATTATGTCTCGCTTTAAAATTAATTAGGATTCTTCAATATGTATTAAAAAAAATTATTGTCCTAAATTACGTTATTGCAAAAGAAAAACTGTCAAATTGAGAATAATGAGATTTTTTGATAAATAGTTATGGACTCATTGATTAAATTAAGCACTCTTCTAACATAGATTGCAAAAGCACCATTTTGTTGTCGATTTTAGACTTATTTCAGTTATTGACTCTTTTGATTAGATTTTTTGGTTAAAGAAATACTTAATTGCATTTTTTTAAAATGATTAAGATCAAACATATCAATAAAATGTATTTTAACTCAAACATAAAATACATGCAAGATATTAAATACATGTAATAAATAAAAAATTCCCCACAACTAATATTGATTGATTTTAGTTTCAATCTGTTAAATTTTCATAACTAACCGTGGCAAAATTACAAAACATTATAAACTAAAGAAATATTTGAATTCTTAGAGAGCTGGATGTATGACATCATTCACACTAAATTCCAACTGATAGGCCCTCTAAAAGATTGTCCTATACAAAACTATGTCCATGTATGAATTCCGTATCTTCTTTTCAGAGGATAATACATGTTGACTGCCAATGATAATGAGTGATAGGAGTTTGTCTGAGAATTTATAATTTTTTGTTAAATTATTCTTTTATTTTACTGATGTTTTGATCGTACAGGATATACGTGCATATTTTTAATTGGAAAATTGCAATTTAAGTTTTGTTGAAACATTATAAACTTTGTGCTAGTGCCTTCTGAGATACAATTCTCTATTTTTGTTGCCGGTTCTGAAACTTCTCTTCTTCAGTGGCTAGCTAAAAATATTAGTAAGAAAGTGGAGAAGGCTGCTGTGTCTTATGGACCTGGGACTGTAGGTACTGATTTCATTTATTTTTTCATATAGTTACTCTTTTTTTTTTTTTGGCCACTGGGTTAATTTGCTTTCTTGTTATGCAGACAAGGGTCCTGCAGGTCTGACAAGCAATTCAAATGCATCTGGTAAAGTAATTTATCCAGATACCTCTCAAACAGTAATTTATGACTCGAGGCAAAACCTAGGTATGCAACTTTAGTTTTATTGCTAGCCATTGAGTTATATTTACCTCTATCGGGTGTCGATTTGAACTTTAATTTCTTGGTTTGTACTTTTGTGTAGTTTGCTTTTTGCAAGTTGAATTAATTCCAATGGAGCTCTACTCCATAGTATGAAACTTTTCTGGAGTGAAAGAATTTATTAGAATCTCAATGCCATATCATACAACATAAAATTTGGAATGGGCATGAAAGTTATTGTCGGACTGCTAGAACTGCTTGAATAAACTTTTTCCACTTGTCATTTAATTGACTTAATCATTCAAGGCTTCTTATTGGCTGAATTAGTAAATTAGTATGGCTATTAGGTGTTGCATCAAAAACCTTCAGAGACATTTTTCTGCCATTCTTCGAATACTTTTGCAGTCTGGCCTTTCAAAAGCTTATACCAGTCACAAACTTATGACTCTAAATTCCTATCTCCAACATCTTGTGGCCTGGCATAATTTTCTGTTGAACTCTCTTCTTGGCTCCTCATCTGTCCATGCCATTAATCAGATAAACACGGTTCGATCTTGTAGAGTTTTTAAATCTCCAAGAAAAATGAGATAAAAGATGGAATAGGTTCGAGGTCTACTCGTTGATAATAGTAAATGCCCTAGCAACACATTCCTTTCAAAAATCAAATGACGGGATTGGCATGCTTGCTTAAATATCTGTATTTGGTGTTTGATTTTGGCATATTCTAAGTAGTGTTCTTATGTAGACGCTGGAATTCCACCCAGCACAACAGCGTCTGGGTTCAAGGCTGCTTCTAACACGTTGTCGAATTCTATTGGATTGGCAACCGATGGATTTGATGAGATACTGAAAGCAACACCACCTGCATTGATATCATTTTTAGCAAACTTGCCTATAGTTGAAGGTAATTACTCAAACTTTAATACCAGTTATTTCCTAGCAAAATTTTCGATTTCCAAGATTTTCCATAATAATTTTCAGTTAAAAATGCCTTGAATTCTCATCGATGTTTGAGTAGTTGTCTGTATTACTATTTATTTTATTTTTGTGACGCTACTGGTCGACAGTTTTGACATGAGAAAAGGTCTTGTAATTTGAGAAACCTGATCCTGCCATGTGTTAACTAGGATAATTGTGATTATGAGCCAACGTTTCTTGCTTATTGTGCTTGATTGTTGCTCCACACTACAGATTTGTACTTCCAAATTGTTAGCTCCTTGAATTTCATATAAGCTTTCATCCTCCAAATTTCATTTGATTACATGGTACTTTTGGGTCCTGCAGATTTATTCTTTACATGGTCAATTTGGAAAGTCCAAATTTCCAACTCTTTTGCTGTTGATATTTATTTGCTGCATGGTTATTAATGGTTTTTTTCTTAAATGTTTCTAGGTCCAACACCAAATGTGGATATTGTATTATCAATTTGTTTGCAGAGTGACGTACCCATTGGGCAAACAGGAAAGTCGCGGACCGCCCTAAGTCCAATGCCTTCTGGTGCGGCTCCTGCAACAAGTGATCTTTCTGGTTCAAGCAAATCCCGTCCTGTCCCAAGCGGTTCATCTTTCAAAACACGGGATAGACAATCTGGGAAAAGAAAGGAACGAGCCAGTATGTTTTTTCATCCACACTTTTTTGAAACTATGCCCAGTATGTTTTTTCATCTACACTTTTTTGAAACTATGTTTATTTTGCTATCTTATTCATTTCGGCAACATATTGTTGGTGTCTTTTGACATGCCTTCAGAAGAGATGCTTCTCGTTCTACAAATTTTCACGAGTTTCAAAGATTGACTTCTCCTTTTCATGTATTGAAGCAATTGAAAGCTTAGCACTTTTTATTTGAATAGCAATGTGGCTTTGACCATTGATTCAGGTGTTTCTTGTCAACTATTTCACTCCAAGATTTTCAAAATTCATCCATGCTTTGCACCTCCTAATTTAAAAATGAGGGTGAATCACCATTGATGTTGTTGAACTTTGTCACTGCTTTTGTACTCATGATGAATGCCTTGACTGTAGGGCAAGAGGAAGATGAAACTGTTACTGTCCAAAGCCAACCATTACCTAGAGATGTTTTCAGAATACGGCAGATTCAAAAATCCAGAGCTGGTACCACTTCACAGACAGGGTCAGCATCATACGGAAGTGCCCTTTCAGGAGATCTATCTGGTTACTCCGGTAGCACCGGCTGATGCGCTATTCTGTTGGTTTTTCATCATCTTTATTTTTTATTTTTGTAAATAATTGTGCACTTTGAAATCAATCTTTCGGTAAAATATTTATTTCAAAAGCATTTTTTAAGTGCTTCGTCCGCATTTAATAATATGTGCCAAACTCATAGTAATAATATTAATTATTTAAATCAACTCAAAATTTTCCATCACCAATTTGAGGTTAAGTTTAATCTCGGTCTAAACGGACTTCGAATAATGAACTGTCAAAACAAGTTAACTTGTATCAGTTCAGAACTGATGGTCATAAATGTCTTTTGGCTTAGGTAACCATGGTTGGTTTATGTAAATGCAGGACGTTCTTTTTAGGTTGAACCTCATAAAAGTTTGTAACCTCTAGGGGCAATTTTCAATCAGGTCTTTAGTGTGTATCAATAAGTTCCCACTCAGATCCTTCATTTAGTTTCAATAAATAAAAACCATCCAAATACCCTGAGATACAATCTATGAATCATGAGAAACTCACCTGATTGACTAAATTACTTGAAGAAATATAAAACCCCACAAAGTAGAGTTATCTGTTAGACTCCTCTTGCGGGGAGAGAGCGAGAACAGATTGACTAAATCTCTTGACGAAACATAAAAGATAAAATGGGATTTTATTAAATTCACGAGTTTTTAACTAGGGAAAGAAATCACGTGAATTTTATATGATTACATAATATTTTTAATTAACCGAAACTAATAGAAGGATCTGATTAAAAATCTATTGGTTTATTAGGGATCTAATAGAGATGACAAACAAATTGGGGATCTAATCTTAGAATATCTCTACAAGTCGGACAGTTTTGAGATTCGCCAATGATTTTACATTGCGGGTCAAAATTTAGTCGATGTCCCATTCGACGTATGTGTCAGGGTTGGCCCATATACCTAAACATGAACAAGCTGACGGTGATTTGTTTTGTTTTGGGAAACGCAGGAGTAACCTAACCTGAGTTACTAGTTAATAAAAAGATCTTAAGAAGACGCAAGCTTATAGATAGATAAAAAATGGGAAGCACCGAAATTAAGATCTTCCATCAGGTATCTCATTTCTTTAAACAGAATTGTTACTACGTACCACAGCAATATTTCCTGTTACGGTTAGGGGAAGGCATATTTTATTGGTTTGGTGGTGTTAAATTATTTTGCCACCTACTTTCGCCAGTAGAGTCTTCCATCGATCCAAGTGGCAAGTTTGGCCATTAAAAACCAGTCTTAATAATAATAATAATACAAAACACGTTAAACTTTCGGTAAGATTGAGATAAGTCCATAACATTTAAAATTTTTAGTTAAATTTACATAAATTATTTTTTAGTGAAAAATAGACTAGCGTGTCCAGGTTTTCATCAATATGTTAATTTTAATTAGATATAACTATCCGGTTGCTCGTGCTATGACACGAGTCTTATAGAATAAAATTATTTTAAAATTTTTTAATTATAATATTTTATTTAATTAATTTTTTCTAATGCTTTTATAAATTTTTTGTTTAAAAAAATATAAATCACTCTTCTTTATGGATTGATTTTAAAATTAAAAATTATAATAATTTTAACTAAAATATTAATCAAGAATTGAAAAAAAATTTAAAAATATAATTTTCACAATATTGTATTCCAAAAAATAAAATTATAATTAATGGATAAACTTTTATACAAATTAACAAATGAAAAATGTTTTTATTTAATACTGATTAGAAGATTAATTTTTAAAATTATCCATGCAACGTTATAGGTAAATAAAACAAAATCATTTCAAAATATTATAATTTTTTTATTTACTTATTACTATTTTTTGTGTGATTTTCATAAAATTTTTACTTAAAAAATAGGATTTATTCTTCGTTATTCGGGTATTCTTAAATAAAAACTTGTAATGATTTAAACCTAAAATATTAATTAAGAATTAAAAAATAAATACTTTTAAAAAAAAAGTTACAATTAATGTATAGACTTGTAGAAAAATTAACCAATGAAAAAATAAAATTTTATTCTTATTTAATGTTGGTGAGAAGATTTTTTTTCTTTCAAGTATATGCATTTGATCTATATATATTTATTTACAAAATAATCAATAAAATTAGCATAAAAAACATTATTTAAATAATTGGTTGGTTCCTTTAAAAAATTATTTTAATTATTTTATTCCAAATAAATTGGTTCTATAATGTTAAAAAGTATTTATAATAAATAATTTGTATTATATTGAAATATATATAGTTAATTTTTAATAAAATCAACGATTCAATAATTTTTTTATATGTTTTGACCATATCTAGTAAATTGAGACAAATTATTTGAAATACACTTTTAACCTTTTAGAATAAAATAATTATATATTTATAGATATGCGACTATCATTTAAAAATTATAAGAATTCATGATATATATTATACCAATTTATTTTTTAAAAAAGAAAAAAAATCATGTTTTAAAATTTAATTCTAAAATTCAAACATAGAGAAAAAAATTATATAATATCAGTAAATAAAATTTCATATAAAAAAATATTAATTGGCTGAGAATTTTCATTAAAAAAAATGTTAAATCAAAGAATGAAATTTAAATAATAAGAGTAATATAAGCTAAAGCATACGTTAATTTTAAAATATAAAAAGATATATTATATAATCGTTGGTTTGTGTGGAAAAAAGTTACGATTGATTTTTAAAAGTTTTAACACTCAATTAAAAAAAAAAGAACATAAATTGATGGAAAAAAGCAAAGGAAAAATTGATTTTTCAAACTTTTAACATCCAATTAAATAAATAAATAAATAACATAAATTGATGAAAAAAACAAAGAAAAAAACCAAAAAAAAAAAAAAAAAAGAAAAAGAAAAAGAAAAGGCATGTGTAGGCATCAGTTAGGATATTAGAATTTTTATTTTAACTTTTGAGGGACCAAAATGAAACAACTTAAAATTTTTTTTAAAAAAACTAAGCTACAATGATGAACAGTGAAACAATAAATTGAAATTTAGAAATTTAGTTTAGCAATATGTTATTAGATTTTGTAAAATAATTTAAGTTTTTTCCAAGTTGGATACCATTCTCTTTCTAAATTGAAATTTTTATACTATTTCAAATCTATTTTTAAGAGCTGACCATTTTATTTTTAAGGTTTTGGCTATCGTCCATCCAACTTATGAGAGTTTTCTCTCAACATTTACGTTAACTCTTATAGTTATGTTAGAATTCCATGTTTTTCTCTATTTTTGAATTGATCTCCCAATATGATGGGCTTGACTTGAAATGGGGTTTTCAACCTTGCAAAAATCAACCAAAGATAGAGTTTAATAATTGTGGAAGTTTTGGCTTATTTAGGGTTTGATATTTAATTTACAGATTTAATTGTTATTTTCAATAAATTTGGTGTTAATCAACAAAAAAATTAAACGTGATCTAGCACTAAGGTGCTAATCTACCTTAGAAACTGATGGTGCTTTGCTTGCTTGATTTGCATTTGCTTCTTCTATTTGGATTTCTCTCTTGTTAAACTAAACGTTTTGGTATTTGCTTTTCTATTCTGCAGAAGAAAAACAACAATGGCAGCTACGCATTAGAGAAGAAAAAGGGAGAAAACAAGAAATTAGGTGGCCGTAGGGAGAAAAGAAAGAAGAAGAAAAATTCATTTTCTTTAATCCCTATAGGCTATAGGTTTTTTTTTCGCATATTATTATTATTATTCTATTATAAAAAGCAGATTCAAAAGATGGAACGTCCTCTGTTTTTTTTTTCGTTTTTGCTGCAAAATTCTCTTTGTTCTAATCAATATTTGATTTTTACACCCATATGGAATTTAGAAATAATAAAAAACCTATATGGTTAATGAAGTTGACTCATTCTAGCTTTTGGGATTTTGGAGATGTGGAGTCAGTGAAAGCAGAGGCGAAGCTGACGGTGACTTGCTAGCTGGAGTTTGGAGAAGAAAGGAAGGTCGATAGGTGGCGTGTGATGGTGAGAGAGAAGAAACTCAGGTTTCTTAATTTTATATTTTGTTCAGCTCAAAGAAAACGAGAAAGAAAGGGAAAGGGTACGGATTTTTTTTTTTTAAAAAATAAAATTGAATGAGGAAGAGGATACGTGTAACTTCTATAGGCCATCATGTGACAACAATTGCAGTCAAATTCCACGTGGCATCCAATGTAGTGAAAATTAAAAGAAATGAAAGAATCTATTTTTTACTTAAAAAAAAAAAGTTGTTGGTCAAATTATTATTTTTAATGAAATAGTCAAATTAAAAATTTTCATATTCGCATAGTCTAAAAATCATATCGAATTGCTCAATAACTACAAAGGAAAAGTCATAAATTGGTAATAGAAAGAACAAAAAGTAGTATATGATTGTCAATCTCCAAAGCATAACTTTCGTTATATAAGGATAACATTACATCTTACCTTTGAAGTTATACATAAATATGACAAAAATTTTCTTTGATTAATCACCACTTGTTCCATTTAACTGTACAATTGTTTTCGTTCCTCTATGGGACTTACAGAAAAATCTGATAGAAAATCAAAGCGAGACACATAAAGGAAAATGTGAACTGAGAAAAAGTAGAAGAGCAGAGACACTTATCATTACATAGAAATTTACTCACGTGGTATTTACAATCAAAGGCTAACAAGATAAGAATGCAGGTTTTAGTTGAATATATTATAAATTAGTGTCTTCAGTTTGGAAAAATAAATTATTTTATTATTTAGTTATTGTTATCTTTTTATATTATTTTTTAATGTATTTTCTATTTTAAAAAATAAATAAATTTATATCATGAAAAATAGATAAAAAAGAAAATTTTTTTTATGAAATAAAATATATCATATTAAACATAATTAATGCTGATTAAAAAGATTAAATAATTAATTTTTGAAATAAATAAACAAAAAACTAATTGATTCATTGATCAAAATTAGAGGGATTAATGCATAATTTACTCCCTATGATTTACTAAATTTCAGGTTGCGTCTTTCACCAAATTAAAACCAAATTAAAAGGCCATTCCATTGCAGATTTTAATTGCTTTTAGTTTGAAAAAATAAATTAGTTGGTCCTTCTTATTTTAAAAACCAATTACTTATTTATTTTTTTATCTATTATGTGTTATTTTTTAATTTTTTTAAAAAATATTTTTATATTAAACATAATCACTCGTAATTAAAAAATTAAAAAATTAATTTATTATTTTTTATATTATATTAATCTCTTAGAAATGTTATTAATTTTTTATTTAATAAATCCAATTACTTTTATATCATATTAAACTATTAAAAATGATATTATTTATTAGTATAATTAATTAATAAAATAACATTGCAGAAACGATAGTGCGAATGCATTAATAATCATAAAATTTTCAGAAAAAAAAACGCTATTTAAAACCATGCTCCAAAGTCCTACCCACTCACAAGGGCAACAAAAAACTTCTCCTTAACTATCGTCCCTGCATCAAAAGATGGCACCATCTTCCTCTCTGTTACCGTTTGCGGTGAGACGTAAGGATCCTGAATTGGTTGTGCCAGCAAAACCAATCCCATATGATCAGAAGCAACTGTCAGATGTAGATAACCAAGAAGCCCTGCGTTATCAAATTTCATTCATCATGTTCTACGACAGTAACAGTAATCCTTGCATGGAAGGAGAAGACCCTGTCAAGAGCATTCGAGCTGCTCTAGCTGAAGCACTAGTGTTTTACTACCCATTTGCTGGCAGGCTTAAAGAAGGTCCTGATGGCAAGCTTCTTGTGGATTGCACAGGTGAAGGTGTCTTGTTTATTGAGGCTGATGCTGATACCACTCTTGAACTACTCGAAGACACGATTCAGCCACCGGTCCCATATCTTGACCGACTTCTTTATGAAGTTCCTGGCTCTACAGGAATCGTCGGATGCCCTTTGTTGCTGATTCAGGCTAGTATAAACATGCAACTCTTGAAACATCTCTTACCTTTTTTCAGTTTTTTTACAGTAAAAAGTTTTTAGCTTATCTGAAACTTGGTATGATGGTATTTATGAGAAATTTTATAATACATAAAAATAAAAAATAATTAATGACATATAAAGTAGTTATTTTATAGATTTATTTTTAAAAAATAGATATAAAAAAAATTAAACAAATTTGAGCTAATAATTTTTTTTATTATCATTTTTTATAAATTTAAATATAATTTAATGTGTTTATTTTTTTTAAATGAATCCATAAAATATAATTATTATGTATATAGTTAGTTGTTTTCTTACGTATTATAAAATTTTCATATATCTAAGTCGATTGGTAGCTGGCTTTAGCTTTCCAAGTGGGGTTTTAATCTTGGTCCATGGTCCTGTGCTGGCTATATAATGACAAAAAGGTTTAGAAAATCCCACAGTGTGTTCACGAAATTACTTCCAGCAGCTAATACGGCCATCCTTGTATAAGATGGTTAAAAGAGAGACACGTAAAAAGAGAAAAGACACCTTCTACCGCCACCTAGCTACCACCCTCACTCTGCTACCTTCATCGTCACCATATTGAATGAAAGTGAAAATGTTCTCTCTTCCGAAACTATATTAGGCAAACCAAACTCCCTCATTTGAATTACTGTAGAGTTATTTCAGATTATCGTGTAATAAACGACTGATACACACAAAATGATTGACTGCATAATTTCCGGTTCGCACAAACCCCAGCAGGCAGCAAGTAACTTTTTTCTTCTTAACATTTGATACGTTAAGGTTTGTTTTGTATATGAATTATTATTATAATTTAAAATTTAATAATAAAAAAGATAAAAATGAAAAAAAGTTTTGCTCCGTTTATCCTCCCTTTACCCCACCAATGCCCATGGGATCCTCATCTTTATCTGGAGCAGAGATGATACGATAAATTTTATCTCATTTAAAACACGGGACAGAAATAAAGCAAAATTGTCAAAGGCAGGGCAGGGACGGGATGGCGGTCCCCGCCCCGCCCCATTGCCATTAGATACAGCTGTAAACTGTAGGTTAGGTTCGGCATTATAGGCTGGGTCCAATGGTCCAAAGGGGTGCGATCTTAGTCAACTACATATCTATTATTAGTATAGAGGGAGATAAATTATTTTGAAAAAATATCCCAAATGTCATGCGCTAGAACTTTGACAAACAACTTGTAAACAACTTGTGAATCCAACAGCGGCACCAAGAAAAAATAAGTAGATAAAAAAAGAGTTGCTGTCTCTTATTCTCGTGAAGGGTTAAGGTAGAACGATTTGTGTGAGATTTTATGTGATTATCTTGATATTTATTTGGACTTGTTTATTTGGATTTTAGTTTTTGTTTATGCGATAGTTGTGCCGTCCTCCAGTTTCTTGGTCTGGTTAATTCTAAGAATTAATATTAAAAATCTAGTATCGTTGTTCGGTTGTGCACTGCCTTTTAAATTGGTCTGGATGTGGACCAAAGCATTTTGACTGTATTCGGTCATTTTGCCTTCACTCAAAAGGCACTGGCGAAAGTGACTTAATTCGTCGACATAAAAACCTTGGAAGCTATTTCAAATCATCGATCACAAAAGGATGACATTATGATGATGTTCTATTTTTACTTTTTATCATCATTGTTCTTCAGGATTGCATCACTTATTTTTTCCCTATCCCCAATTCATCTTTTGATTTTTTTTTTTTTTTCAGGTGACTCGTTTGATGTGTGGAGGATTTGTCTTTGCAATACGTTGGAACCACACTATTGCTGATGCAGTTGGTATGTTCAAATTCTTGAACACAGTTGCAGAGATGGTACCATCTGGTGCTGCTAAACCTTCCTTTCTTCCTGTGTGGCAAAGAGAACTATTAACTGCAAGAGACCCTCCACGGGTGACTTATGAACATCACGAATTCGATGAGGTGGATGACACCGATTATGGCACTGTGGATGATGATTCAATTGTTCACAAGTCTTTCTTATTCGGCCCCAAAGAAATGAGTTCGCTTCGGGATCTTCTTCCACCGCATCTTCGTTCAAGTTCTTCGTTTCTAGTGTTATCTGCTTGTTTATGGAAATGCCGAACGATTGCAATGCAACTTGAGCCAGATGAGATTGTTCGCGTATCGTACATGGTCAGTGCAGGTGGCAAGGAAGGCATAAAACTGCCTGCTGGTTACTATGGGAACGCCGTCACCTTTCCGGTCGCACTTTCAAAGGCTGGATTGCTATGTAAAAATCCATTAGAGTATGGACTAGATTTGGTCAAGGAGATAAAGAACAGATTGAATGAAGAGTATATAAGATCAGCTATAGACCTTTTCGTAATCAAGGGAAGGAAACAATATAGAACAGTAAGAGACTTTGTAATTGCTGATACAACGCGTGTGCCGTTTGGAGATATTGATTTAGGCTGGGGAAAGCCAGTATATGGTGGTCCTGCAGGAGCCATTAAAGATGTTAGTTTCTTTGCAAAGTTTAAGAATGGTAAAGGAGAGGATGGTATCGTAGTACAAGTTTCATTGCCATGGCAAATCATGGAAAGGTTTCAAAAGGAGTTAGTAAAGATGGTAGGGGACTCTTTGAATGATCAGCACTACAGAATTGCCACAGAAATCACATATTCCAAGCTCTAGCTAGGGTGATTCAAGCTCCGATCGTCCAAGTTGCATGCAAAACTGATGTATAACCAGGAACTAAAAATAGTGTTTAGCGACCAGTCATGCTAGATTCTAGAAAAATTCCTGGAGAAAAGCAATATTTAAGTAGAGGTTAAGCGCATTTTTTTCTTCTATTGGTCGTCCTTGTTGAATCTCTTGTATCAAATAATTTAGCGGACACTAAAAATTACTCTTACTTAATATGTGTTCAACGAACCATCTTTGAAACAAATTAACCTAATCTTTGTTTGATTTAAAAGCACAAACAACTAGGGAAAGAAAATGGAGCCCTTCTAAGTTTCGTCCTGCTTTCTTTAATCATCAGCCTCACCCTTTCTCTCCACCCATCTGTTGCCAATGCGAGCACCAATCTAATCGACGAACTATACACACGCTCCCATGACAGGAATAGTTGTGTTGCAAGCTTTGAATCTATCCCTGATAGCAAAGAAGCCAATTTGAAACAACTAGGCATAATCGCATTAACCCTTGCTTCTTCAAAAGCAACAGAGACATCGCAGTGCATCAAGACTTTGCTTCTTATCAATAATTTGGACCCTGTCATTGACCAGGTCCTCTCAGACTGCTCAGACCAATACTTGGATGCCATCCAGCAACTAGGTGACTCGTCTTCTGCTATGTTAAAGGACGTTACCAAAGACGTTCGCACTTCGGTGAAAGCAGCAATTTGTAGGAGTTTAATCACAAAGATAAACACAGAAGCAATAAAATGCTTTAACTACAGAAAACAGAAGCAAAAGAACACAAGAATAGGCTGCAAATCTCATTTTCTTTATTCAACCAATCAACTGTTTAAATACTTTAACAAATAATAGAAATTGAAAGAAATCTACTGTACACTAAGCCACTAACAAGTAGATCCTTCTAAGTTACTACAACTAACCAACATATACTCCTAACTTGCTGCAATTAACACCGTGCAACAGAAAAATAGAATAAGTATAACAGAAAAAAAAAGAAAAAAAAAGACTTAGTCAAAAACATGTGCAGCCTTGACTCTGTCCATACCTGCAACCACGATTGCTTGCTATCTCATTAGCTTTTGCATAGTCAGTAGATGTTGTGGCACATCTGTAACACTCCTCCTTGCATCAGTAGCTGCAAACTCCAAGTTTCTCAATTTAGAAACATAAATCTGCTACCATGGAGTGCTTTTGTAAAAATATCAGCAAGCTGATTTTCAATCTTGCTATACAACAAGCATACTTCACAATTCTTTTGCGCCTTCCTTAAAAAATACAACTTAATATTAACATACTTTGTCTTTCCATGAAAGACATGATTGTTGGAGATTGCAATGGCTGCCTGATTGTCAACAAACACGTTGAATCACTACTGCTCCACTTGCAAATCAGTCAAGACCTTCCTAAGCCATAAAACTTGATTCACTGTTGTTGTGGCAGCAATGAATTCTACCTCAATAGTTGATTGAGCCATAATCTCCTGCTTCTTGGAACTCCATGATTACACTCTTGAGCCAAAAGGGAAACAGTACCCTGAATTACTCTTCATGTCATCTAAGCACCATCCCTAATCACTGTCAGAATATCCATGAACCTGAAAATTCTAATCGTACCAAAACAAAACTCTATAATCAAGAGTCCCTTTGACATATCTAAGAACACGTTTGGCTACTTTGAAAGGCATTTCACTAGCATAGTGCATGAATTTTGATAACACACTGAAAGCTTGTAAGATGTCATGCCTAGTTACTAAGATGTCATGCCTAGTTACTGTAAGGTACATTAGGCATCCAATGAGACTTATGTAAAAAGCCTCTTTTTCTGCACCATCTTCTTTGTTGAGCTTCTCTGTTTGGTTCATAGGAGTGCTCATTGTTTTGCAATTCTCCATCTAAAATTTCTTCAAAATTTTCTTAGATATTTCCTCTCATAAATAAACACACCCTACTAGTTCTGTCTAATCTTCATGCCAAGAAAGTATTCCATTTCATCTAAGTTTGTCATTTCAAAGACCTTCATCATCTTTTTTTTTTTAAAAAAAAATTACTTAATGAGCATTGCATCTTTTCTTGTCACCAAAAGATCATCCACATATAAAGAAACAATTACTATATTAGTTTTATAATATCTAACAGAGAGAGTGGATTCACTCAAACTTTTCACAAAGCCAAAGCTTAATAAGTGCTCATCAATTCTATTGTACCGTGCCCTGATGCTCGTTTTAAGTCGTATAAAGCCTTTTTAAGCGAGATAACTTTGTCTTCCTATCTTTTCATTACAAAAGCTTTATATTGCTCAACATAAATCTCTTTTTGTAGATAACCATTAAGAAAAGCTGATTTGACATTAAGTCGAATAACCTTCCATCCATACCAAGTAGCCAATGCTAGTAGCATTCCGATGGTGTCCGGTCGTACAATAGAAGCAAATGTCTTTGAGAAATCAACATTAAACACTCGAGCACATCCCTTCACCATAAGTCCGGCTTTGTGCTTGTTGATGGAGTCATCAACATTCGGCTTTGTTACGAACACCCATTTGACATTAATGATTTTCCTATTCTCGGGCCTTTCAACAAGCTCCCAAGTCCGATTTTTCTTAATTGTATTCAACTCCTCTTTCATTGTAGCTATCCATTTTGGATCTTTCTCGGCCTTCTTCATATCCTGTAGGCTCAAAAATAGCTATATTGCATCTCTAAAAAATATCATAAAGCGATCTTATACCTCCGATAGGTGGCTATCAACCTCCTTTTCGTGATTCAATGAAAAACCAATGTTTTGATTTCCTTTTTGGTTTCCCAGCTCCATTTTTTATCATCAACAAATTGAACATCTCTACTTATCAGAATCTTCTTAGTTTGAGGTTGAAAGATCCTGTAAGCCTTAAAGACATTGCTATAACCAATAAGGATGCTTGGTTCTACCCTCTTATCAAGCTTGTCTCTCTTCAATCGGGGAACAAGTGAGAAACTCGTTATGATAAACGGCGAAAATAAGATAAGTAATGGTTGATAATAATCAAAAGATAAAGCTAAATAAATTATCGATATACAAAATTTACGTGGTTCAAAAAATGCTTACTCTATGAGTGAGAGGGAAGTTTTTATTAGCTTAATAGTAGAAGAATACAAAAACCTTGAAGGATCAATATAAAGTCTCTATCTATCACTCTATTTCTTAAACAGAGACGTAAGAAAGTTTAAATATATCATACCTATAAAAGAAAACCCTAATAGGCTAAATATATTATTAATAATTCAAGCCATATACAACAAATCTCTACCTTGGCTTGCATTTTGCAAACCTTCAAGAGTGTCAAATAATTCCTCAAAATACACCTCTAAGCTTACGTGAACTAACTCGGTGTAAGAAATAAGAGATATGAAGAGAGAAAATATTGACTTCAATACTAAAACTAACAATACCCCAACATGCATAGATAAATGTTTGAGGCACATGAAAAAATTCATGAGTACATGAACAAATCAACAAAGTGACACGCCCATGCTTCACTTTCTATTCAAAACACCATACGAGTAGTGGCATGAGGCACGAAATAGAAGCATTAGGCATGGGTTTAAGACAAATGCTTCATATGGATAGAGGCATGAAGTAGGGGCATAAGACAATTACTTCACACGAATAGAGGCATGGAGCACGAGCACAAGACAAGTGCTTTAGACGAGCAAAGGCATGAAGCATGGAGAGAGAAGAAAACTCACATGATCGTGCCTCTCTCCTTCACATGAACAAATCTCTCTTTTCAACACCACATTTTGATTTTCTTAACACCTCTCAAGTCCAAACTACATGTAAACTTATTTGTTACAACAAGTTTAGTTAACACATCAATTGGATTTCTTTAGTATGAACTTTCTTCATTATAACCTTCTTGTCAAAAGTCGCTTCGTGGATGAAATGATACCCGATATCAATATGCTTAGTTCTCTCATGATGTGTATAATTTTTGATTGATTGTATAACATGCTGGTTATTGCAAAAGATAACTAAATTTTCTTTTTGTTGAAGACCAAGTTACTCCATAAGATTTCTCAACCAAATAGCCTCATTCACGGCCTCATTTTCTCGTCATATATTTTATTTCGGTAATCAATAAAGCAACCGTTGCCTGTAATTTTGATCTTTAACTTATAATAGAACCCGAAAGTGTAAAGATATACCTAGTCAAGGATCTTTTTTTATCGAGCTCACTTGCATAGTTAGAATCCACAAAATATACAATAAAGGTTTCAAAAGCATTGTCTCTTTCAAAGACTAAACCCAAGTCTATGGTAACTTTAAGATACTTGAGAATCCACTTCACTTGCTTGTCAATGTATCTTCCTTGGGTGAGCCATATATCCGCTCATAACACTAACTACCTAGGCAATGTCTAGACGAGTGTAGATTATAGCATACATTATGCTACCTACCGCACTAGAATATAGAACTTGTGATATTTCCTTCTCTTCTTTTTCATTCTAAGGTGATTGAGAAACTGAAAGTTTAAAGTGAGCAACTAATGGAGTATTGACGGGTTTAGCCTTCGCATACCAAAGCGTTTAAGCACTTTCTCAATATATCCTTTCTACAAAAGATATAATTTTTTCTTTATGAATCTCCATACCAATTATCTTTTTTGATGCTCTAATATCTTTTATCTCAAACTCATTACTAAGTTTTTTCTTCGGTATTTGAATTTTTGACATGTTCTTGGCAGCAATAAGCATGCCATCCACATACAATAAAAGATACATAAAAGATTCTTTTGTTAATTGCCCGAAATACACATAACTATCATAATTAAATCTTTAATAACCATGATTAATCATAAAACTATCCAAAATCTTGTACCATTGCCTTGGTGATTGTTTTAAGTCATACAAAGATTTTTTCAATTTACAAACATGGTCTTCTTTCCCTTTCATAATGTATCCTTCTAATTGAGACATATAAATTGTCTCCTCAAGCTCTCTATACAAAAAAAAGC